GTTAGAAATAATTATTACACATATTTTATTGCGTATAATTAGTTGTAGTCCATTCACTTTAATATTAAGATTAAAATACTTATTATCAGAATTATTTTGTAACCTACATTTTAAGGTGGCTATGGCTAAAGTAAAACATAATTCACTAGTTTTTATCCGATCAAGGACTATATTGATATTAGATAGTAGATCATATACTGTACTAAGATTGATGATACTTAAGTTACCTGAGCTGCTTTCTTCAATTCTTCTCCATGCAGTTGACAATTCAGAGAACAAGTCGCAGCCAGTAAAATCTGTGTTTGATTACAAATGAACCACTTAAACAGAATTTCATAGCTATAATTCGTCTATCATTCCTTTCCAATGTTTTTAATATGACAGAATGTTAAGGTTACAATTAACTGTCAGTTTTACGTCTATCATCGGCACTTCTATAAAGTAATATTGATCTATACTATACACGTATGATGGCTACAATCTACTTACTTTAATTCTATTACTAAGCTACAAAAATTCTTTTTATTATTTTATTTGAATATGATAGCACTATCGCAATTTTATTATTCCTAACCCTAAATAGCCTAAATATGGTTGGTGCTATTATCTCACTACAATTAATCCGCGTAAAATTATCGAATGACTATTATGATAATCTTCTATGAATAAAGTGCGATTTAATGCTAGCCCTGTGAGCTTTTCTTTCTAACAAGCCGGGTGTATTCGCCATAATGATGCAGTATTTAATCAAAATCGTGATAAACTATTAAATAATGAAAACTTTCTATTGAGTCTAACTCGAAAAGAGAATACTACCACATAAATCTATAAGGAAAAAAATGAAAACATATTTGCTTTATCTGTTTCTGCTTGAAGATAGATATCTGTCATAATATTTACATATGCAGATTTTTTTATCCAAACCGAATGCTATTTATTTATATTACTAAACTGTAAATGAATCACTTTTTTAAAGTGCTGTTGCACAGATGAATTGCCTATTTTGACAGTGGAGTACTTTAGTTTGAAAGCATTAACATTAGAAATATTGCAGTAAAGTACATTGCCATATTTAAGTATTAGCTTTAAATACAAAATATATTTGCATGTAAGGGAAATATTCAAGACAGCTGCCATGTTTCTTATGTAACTGCAGTACTTTTCAGTTCCCTCTGCGATACTAGGCCTATTTATTTATCTATCATTTCATTGCTACTCAATTACTCATTAAATTAGCAATGTTATTATAATAAGATATGATAGACAATAAATACTATATAAACACTTGAAAGTTGCGATAGCGAAGAATATCTCTCAAAATTTTCATGGCTATATATGTTTTGAAATCTTACGACATAAGATATAGTATACGATTACAGTATATTAGCTGCATTTAGAATGATTTGTTTGAACATAAAGATGATTTTCATTGTTACAAGTAGACTTATTGTAATATGCAATTAATATTTTACTTTTAATCAAATATTTTGGGGAATCAGAGTTATTGTATACTATATTAGATATATCAGAAGTATAAATATGCTGCTTAGATAGTGAAATATTTGTATTATCAAATCTTATGATGACATAGGAATAGTATCGCATCTTAAAAATAATTTCTAAATATAAATACAACTCCCATATAGACATACTGTAGATTATAGAATTATTGTATAGCAATCTAAATGCTATGCTCATCAACAATTTTATAGGATCTAGATTAGTATACGATTGGTTAATGGCAATTAGAAAGCATAAAGATGTCAATTTGTTCGTAAAATATTGTATAAATTTGTTGACGACGATGACGTAAATGGTAATTTGTATAAGGCTGTATCAAAAATTGAGTAGTTTTTTAGAAAATAAATGTAATTACTATACATACGATATGTATTGTAGAATTATTATAAAAAGTAATGTAAATCAATAAATGTTTTAATACGCTAGATTAGACAAGCATTGGAAGTATACGCGCAGAATCTACTCGGATAATGATATATTTCACTCTCTTACTAGTATACACTGCATAGATAGAAAGAAATGATGTAGTATTGGTAGTCGGGAAGACATTTCCTTACCTTCATAATTTCGATTTGAATTTCATCGGAAAAGTTGGTAATATTTGTAAATGTATTAATCAGTTGGACAGTAAGTTGACAGTCAAACGGGTCATTTTCACTACTGGCGAAGCGATCGTCTAAAAGAATTTTCTAAAAATGAAATACCAATAGGCATTGCCGGTAAATCAGTTGATAAACACATTTATAATCTATCTCAATACAATTTCTACGATTGATTATGCGCATATGCTAGCATCAAATATCATCGAGAGTTATCATTTAATTTCAACCAACTACAACTACTGCAAGGATTTCACGAGTAATATCAGTGCTATTAGAAAATAGAGCATCGGCGAGAACATAGAATAAATCCATTCTGGATTTTAAGGCTAATTTTAGTTTGCAGCATTTCAAGCGCAATACTGTAGATTGGATGACTTTTAAGTAGATTGCGATAATAGATGTTTTTTAAATGCGCTCCTATGCTAGTGGCTATGTATAATAATTGTAGATGAATAAAATTATTCAATAATTGTTATATAAATTTGTTTTACTGTCTAGTTTTACGAAAAAGAATAGGAAAAAAATAGCTTTGACAGTGTATGATACTGTACTTATTAGTAATCACAGGATTAATGATAAGACAACCGGAAGGAACAAGCAGATACTAAATAGTTGCCTAATTACTTAAGAGAAATTAATTATTGCTCTTTCTAGGTCATCATAACACTGATATGTATTCGTTGTATTAATTAATAAATTACGAGTACCAAGGAAAATTTCTTTAATATAATTACAGTTGTGTGTTAATTAAAAATATAGCTCACGATGAATAATAGTTTTACAAAATGATTAAAAGCCTTGTTACTAGCTGAATTTAGCATCACCGTTTATCATAAAATTATAGTTGCAAACGATAATCTTTCATTCATATTCTGTATTACAATTATTATTAAGAAAGGAGAATAAAAATTGACTGTTAATGACGATACTACAATTAATTATACTGGCATATGGGTATACAATATACGTAAAAGGACAAAAGAAATATTGGTAACTGAATTTTTTTCAGTTCGTCATATACGACTATTCATTACAACACAGTGAAAGTATCCTATTATTACTGCGTATCATTTTGATTGGATCGAGAAGAAAATGTACTACTGAAGTTATTATTATAGCTTCTTAACTGATGCTGTAGGCAAGAATCATTTTTAACGACACCCACATACGCGTATGATATACGCATATATCATCATGACAGTAGCCAGTAGTTTTGAACTGTCTACATTTTACGAAGGTAGAAATTACCTTAAAGGCATTTTTTATTAATTTTAAAAGTTTATTAGGCTACTGTCTCTCTCCAATAAAAAAAACGTTCCATTAAATTTTTATCTACAGTATACGCAATACGTATAGTTTTACAATAGACTTTAGAACTTAGTGATTAGCTAAAGAATGAACATAACCACTATACCTGTATATCAAGTGGTAAAGAGGATTACAAATTCAGACAGTAAAAGAGAATTAGGTTGTTAAGTAACAACAACGAAGTTTTAAGATACTTTAAGGATATGAACATAAATTAAAGAATTTAGAAAGAGAAGGATCGAAAATTTAAGCAAACATTTAGTATAGTAATCAATGGCTGAAATCGCGATGATTGTAATATAGAAATGCTTCCTACGAACAAAATTATAGATCCTCATCACTATTTAAGAGTTAGACAACTGAGATTGATGAAAGATGATCTTCATTAGTTAAATTAAAGGAAAAACAAAGTTTATTTTCTGAATTCATTATACGGTTAGAATAGATGTGGATGTACAACATCAAGAGCTGCGCTCTCACTAATCGATCTATTGTGCTGGAATAAAGCTTTGCATATTAAAAATAATTTACATATTTTGTTTTTGACCTTGTAGTAGTGAATCAGTACGATTCAGTCCAATGTTACTACAGGATTATTATTTTTATTCCTATATCCAGAGCGAGTGCGAGCATCTTTTAGATTTTCTACATCTGATTAACTTAAGTATTCAATTTTCACTATCAGGCAATGATGGAAAATGTCATTTTTGAACTAGATTTTTAGATAGTAGTTATTTAAGGCTTCCAACGTACTCGTTGTTAGTAAATGAATATCATCATGGCCGTAACTTGTCAGTATAAATGCACATGACAATAGATAATATCATTAGCTTAAGAGGAAAAATTTGAAATGCTACAATTTAAAAACAGTATAGTGATATCATTTTTATGTGCATCGTAAAAGATTATGCAATATTTTTCATCATTTCAAAAGGATAGTTGAATTTTAAGCGTTTATTTCTATAGTATATCGTCTTTTTATAAAATAATAGTATCAATTATTGAGCAATAAAGTATAATTTGTTACCTAAGGGTTTTTATTAAAAGCTATAGGAATCTTTTTCTGTAGCCCCCTCAACAATTTTTCGAATTGTTGAATGATTTGTTAAGCCAATGTCTGTCTACCATAACGGTTTACAAGTATTTTACTTTTATATAACAACATCGTCGATCGATGATGTTCATTTTATCTTGGTTAATTATGATATGAAGCTAATTACTGGATAAACGAGTACACTTGATCTCTCCATTTTATATTTCATGACATATAGAAGAGGGGAAAAATTGGTTTAATTGGTCGTTATCGGCTGAGTATAGAAGAAAGTATTGTAAAATTATAGTGTTATTAAACAATTAGTTGAAGGCATTGTTTACGTATACTACCTAGCAGAATTTATTGATATTTGTTATAAAAGTATAGCGTAAAGGAATACCACTGATGTTTTACAGGATAGCCTATACTGTCTGTTAAAATAAATTCTAAACATAACTATAAATAGAGGGATATATTATTGATGGAATGAAAACAAAAAAGACAAAATAATAAAAGCAATGAAAGCAGAAGGTACGTGAAGTTAGTATGGATCCAATGGTAGAATAAAATTCATCAAGGGACTTTAACAAGTTTTCTCCCCGTATTTGATTTCATTTTACTATCATCAATCAATGGTTGATCAATTGGATGATGTTATCACGTCTAATTTGATCAATATAGACTATTCAAATTTATCTGAAGGTTAACTATAGTATTTTACCTGAATTTAACAAGCTGATTACAGTTTTTCTTTCAATTTTGCTCGATCTCAATGATAGCTTGTTAAGTAACGATAGTATTGTATGACATTGTATAGCGTTGATTATTATATTATTTATTTGCACTTTAACTGAGTTATGCTTTGTGTCCTAGTAGGCTTGGAGAGAAAAGGGGGAAAATCTGCTTTCAAGCTTTATTGGGTAGATAAGGAATTGCAGATTGACTAAGGAATAGATTAATAAGTTAACATGGCAAGTTGAACTGATATCGACTGCACTTCTACGCAAGATGACTTTTATCATTTATTTTCTATCGTTAAAAGTTGATTCTACGCAGGATTGAACGGTATAACATCAAGACTGAATATCTTATAGGAATAGATTGAATGGTTGACTACAATTTTCTTCCTTGATGCCCTATGTTAGTACGTCTGCTCCGAAGGTATTGGCATCTTTTGAGCGTGGATACTAAAACTCTTGACATGATCGATTATCCAATATTTTAACGTGGAGTGAGCGTATAAATTTATAAGCTAATAAGCTATGCGTATACTAGCTGCTATTATGACAACGTAGGTGAAGATATTGTTTAGAATAAACGATGGCACACATGAGCGTTGATTAAATGGCGATGTACATAAATGTCTTTCATTCGTCGAGTTAGTATCTCGCGTGATAGTATTGTTACTTTATTCTTGACGCGATAAAATAGTAGTTTGTCAATTACCGCAGGAATAGCGTCTACGATGGATTCATTTTTCTACCTCTTTCAAATTCATTTGTATGTATATCATTGCCTGTAACATTTCTATTACAAGATTATGGAGTAATTCTGAAAGGATCAACAATTTTTAACTGAACAGTTGTTCGCAGAATGAGATAGACGAATAAAATGTCAGGATGGAAATGAAGAGTAATAAAGCAATGAATAAAACGGAAGGGAATAAATACTACGTCCATTACATAAAGTGAAGATATTTTAGTTTCTTGTTGAAGTCACTGTGAAATTTTAGTTGGTCATAAAATGATGCTGTTGCGGTTAGAAAAGCTGTCATATTTTGATGTCACAATAATACAAAAAGTAAAAAAAAAATTTAAAGAACTTTTTATTTTGAACTTACTTGGAGTCCTCGAATGCCATGGCCAGCCAATTTATTACTCCGGCTTTCAAATGCTAACTTGATGGGTAATAGGCATTTTTCTCTACGATAAGATTGGAAAGACAACATTAAAAAGTGGTTGTACACTACCTCCATGTACAGTAGTTCTTTCTTTTTTTTTGTCTTTCAGCAATTAAAGTTGATCATATTCTATTCCATTGACTAAATTCATGGTTGTAAATTGTACATTTAACATTATCATCGTTGGTACTAGTTGATTCCACGATGTAAGATAGTGGGTTATTATGATTTTATCCGACAAGTATAACGGTAGAATAATGTAGCCATGGCATACAAAACTCAACAATACCATTCTAGTAAAGGTTAACAACGTGGTATTGCTTTCCCATATTTACGTTCGGATGGTTTCAGCTTACCTTAGTATATAAGGCTTGACGGAACTTTTACCCAACAAGATTTCTAGGATATAATAGTGAAAAGATGATATCGATTATCTCCATAGTATAATACTCAATGGAATGAGTCAAGTACAACGCTTAGAATTCAAATAAAGTAGGGCATTTTTATGACTATAACGAATGATTCACTTCTGAAGGAGATTTTAATTGTCGGGTGTGTATTTTAACCATGCTGTTGTTGATAACAATTTCAATAACGACTGTTATATCTTGTGACTATCGCTAAAGACAACGAAATGGACATGACTTACTTTCAACTAACTGTATAACTATGTTAGGCAAATGAATAACATCGATGTAGTACAAGTATTGTATTCGATGATGAAAGGAATTGAAATTTTACCGGCAATCTAGCCATCAGTCTATTTGTGAATAGACTGATATTCTTGGATAAATAACTATACCTGTAGCTGTTGCACAAGCATCACGAAGCGATTTCTGCTTGGTTGGCGACGCATCCTTGGATAATTGATGAAGAACCGACTCCATATTCTTGGATGGACTTAAATAAAAGATACCCATTGTGTCAATCTCAAGATATTCAATCGATTGCTGATACAAGACTGTTGATGATAGTTTACAGTATACTGCATTGGCAAAGACTACAGATTGAGCTATATCTCTATTTTGATGCCAAAATCGGAGACAAATTCCTAATTTCAACTATGAATAG